AGGCGAGTCACAGGATAGAGTGGGATGCAATTTGTGATTGCGGGTCGAATCTTATATGGGTGTACCGGATGCTACATCTACAGCACCAGAAGCACAGGAGCAACATATGAGTATATCAAGAGCTATAATGGTATACGGACATTTCGGTGCCGATTCAATCCGACTATACGTGTACGTACCAGGACAGAAAAACTCGTACGTGTTTCAGACCACGTCAAACAGAAATGTACTAAAAAGATAGACTTTAAAAATGTACCAAACGACATATAACCACATATAGATACGCACACATGGCGTGCATGCAAAGAAGTCTGCGGCACTCAATGTACATGAACAGGTCATCCCCACGACAACCATAGCAAACACTCACATGAGAGTATATTGTAAAGCCCTATCCTATCACACAACACAGACAACACACACACCAACCCTACAGACCCAGCAATATGCGTGGAACTCACACAACAACCAAACATATACACGATAACAGCTGCAACACACACTCACACGATAGAATACTATGAAACAAAATAACAGCCAATATATATATACCTAATCCTCGGACCCAGCAACAGACAGGGCACTCTCACACAACTACCACACACACACGACAACAACTGTAACACACATCACACGATATCAAACTATCAAATAATGTAGACCAGTCAACACACGCACACCAACCCCACAGGACCAGCAATAGACATGACACTCACACGACAACACCTGCAACACACACTCACACAACCAAAACTACACCACAAACGCGCGATAGTACATAACATACTATCAAACAATACGACACCGCCATTGCGCACACCAGTCATATACACTCACCTATACCCTTGGCCTCGACAGACGCGGCACTGCCCGCCCTATTCCTAACCAGTTTCGTCGGATCCGCATCAGCAGTGTATGACATATGTGGCTGCATCAAAAACTTTGGATTGCGCGTGTACGAGGGTCTCGCTGTCTCCTTCTCCTGTGTTTCAACTTCGTCGCCATCTGAAGCGCCCAGACCACCTGTGGGTTGTTTTCTGCGTGCGCGTGACATGATGATACGATCCTAGTATACCATTACTGTTACAAGTAACGGCTAGATGGTCGTGATTGCATCCAGTGGATTAGGATAGAACGGATTGGATATGTATATGTGTTGAGTGCTGGTGTGAAGAGTTTTCGAATAGACCTGTGTACGCGAGTACAAAGGTACCATTTGCCACCAATTCACCTATTCACCTTATGGGCCGTTCCAGCGTGTAACACCATACATACGTCTACTTCCGTGTGTACTGAGCATGTACAGATGCTATATGATCTGAGATTATCCATTGGTACCATATTTTTTATCATAAATAACACTCGCTTGATATTTTTTTTATTACAGCACAAATACGAGTGTTCTCAAATTTGAGAGGGTCTCAAAACTCAAAAATCTAGTCTCTAATAATTTCTTTTCGACTCCTCAAGTTTTCCTGCACCTCAATCCGTTATTTTAAAGGGGCCATAAATGCGTGTCAAATTGCTAGAAAATAAATAGCCTCAATACGAATTAAACGGACACTAGACAGTACAATATTGAACATTTTAAACCTTAGGACTCAGAATATCCACCTGTTTTGACAGCACTAAGGTTGATGCGATATATACACTCAACGTAAACGTATATTTATTCATAGTCTCTACTCTGTAGGGATTAAATAATGCAAACGTATTGAGGTTTGCTGCTCAGACTCTAGAATCCAGAGTCCAGAGTCCCAGTCAGGCCACACATAATCAGTTCTTTCAACCTTGTGTGGAACTACTCTTTCTATAGTGACTCATTAATTAGTCACCAGTCGCCATAACAGCGTTATTTTCGTTCTAATCATTCTGATTCACTTGAATATATTCTATGGCGGAAGCTTTTAAAAATAAACAAAAGAAATTATCCATTTCAACCAAATACTGTCAATACCTAAAGAGATAAATTTTCATAAAACATGTTTGATATGCTTATATATTATAAACCAATAGACAATGTATTATATCATATATTGTTATTATTGGAAGTACAGTACCTATACAATAAGTTTTCAATTTGTCATGTTAGAACTCAGATATTTTAAAAATGGGGGGGTGTTTTAGAAAGAAACGATTCGCGGAGATGTTTCGCTTAGAGGACTATTTATGGCGGAGAGCTGAGGCCTGAGGTGGGGAAGGGCCAGGGCGCATCTGGAGTCTGAACTCCGGAGTGCGGACAAGGACTCGGAGTCTTGAACTTGCGAGAATGTGAGGTGTGCCTTGTGAGGCAGTTTGACGCTGGTTCGATGTTTGATCTAAATGATGATATTTGATAGTTCGGATCCCCTCCATTTTGTTCTTTTTTCTTTAACAAAATATGTACGTTTTATGAAACGGGTTATTTTGTGTACTACTTTGGATCCGCCCTGTTTTTTTGAAAGCCGAGTGGCTGGTATTTACGTTTAAAATCTCAAAAGATGAGTTGTTATCCAATAAAAACAACAGTATGAAAATTATATATATATATACACATACTTGTGTAAATACGTACATAACTACTGCGAGTGTGTATGCATATTGTTTTTATTTGAAAAATTAAATACAACAGAAAAAAAAAGAGGCATGTAAAATTATATATTGAGTCACTGCTGCAGGTCTGCAGCAGAGCAGAACTGCAGTCTGCGAGTGCGAGGCTGGTAGGCTGTGGCAGTGTGGCCTGTGAGTCATGGGAACTGAAAACTATATTTAACTGTGTGTAGTGTATTTAAATACTGTAGTAAACGTGGAGTGTAGACTAATCGACACAGATTTTTTTTTGTTACAGTAGATAAAGTAAAATAATTAAAGGACAATAACCCACTTTGTTGTATATGAAGACTCCTAAAATTTATTATAGGGCTTTGCACCCAAATTGTTTTACGTACTTTTCTCACAATTCCACTTTTTTTCCCGGAAAAGTGCCGTTATTTGATTGGGCTATATTAATCACAAATAACACAACACAGACGTGCAAAAAAGGTGGAAATCACAACACACGCGAGCACTGTGCACACA